AATGTCCAGTGAAGCAGCAACGTGACCTCCCAATTCCAGTACTTAATGCACTGATGAATAAAGGCAAGCATACTAAATGCCTTCTTAACTACCCTATGACTCTACTTTCAAGGACCAATGAACCTGCACTCCAAGGTCCCTTTGAGGGTTCGGCAACACTTTCCAGGACCTTGCCATTTAGTGTACTGACATGATTAGCCCTACCAAAGTGTAGCACGGCACATTTATCTAGATTAAACTGCATCTGCCACTCCTTGGACCATCATCCCATCTGATCGATATCCTGTTGTAGTCTGAGGTAGCATTCTTCGCTGTCCACTACACCACCAATTTTGGTGTCATTTGCAAATTTACTAACGATACCTTCTATAGATCACAAATAGCAGTGGACCCAGCACCGATCCCTGCGGCACTGTTTCTACTTGAGGGGGAATGTAGAATTAGCGACGCAGTTTCAAAATAAGGGCTTCCTATTTACGACAGTGGTAAAAAAAAATTTTCTAAGGGCGTCACCAATCTTTAGATTTATCTACCCCTGAGAGCTGAATTATTGAATATATTCAAGGCTGTGTTAGACAGATTGTTGATTCGCAAGCAAATCAAGGGTTATGGGCAGCAAGTAGAAAATTAAAGTTCAGGTCCTGATGAGATCAATCATGAACTTATTTAGCATCAGATTGGTTTGATGGGCTAAATTTCCAGTTCCTGCTTCCAACCTACAATGGAATTAGCATGTCTAGGCTGGGATATACTAGTGTCTTCGAGAACCACATTGACACGGGACAAAGTAAGACAAAAATATCCCAACTTGCACTCCCGATGTTGATTGTTGCACAGTGACCTCTGGTGGAAACTTTGTGCATATGTGAATGAATAAAGACCGGATATGATTCCCTTCTAATACCTTCTATGTCAAATCTTAAGTTGTGGCATTCACTGTTAAAGTTCACATGTTAGAAACTTTGGTGAGGTACAGAACTTCAGGCACTCTTGAAACAATATTTCACCATGAGGCAAAACCATTACCCACTTGGCAAGAGGAAGAAAGATGTTCCCTTTCAATAAAAAAAATTAACGTTTTATCTCTATTTAAAGTACTACTGTAGTCATTTTGGGATAATAAATTATGTTATTCAAATAGAAACTGTTACATGTGAGACTCTGTGTTGAAGGGCTGGCACAATGATGGTATAGAACCTATTGGTGGATGAAGCTAAAACATTGTTAGTTCTGAATAGGAATGAAAAATAATGACAGAAAGGTGAGGTATAAATGGATTGGCTAATTTGGTTCTTCAAAATACATATTATGGACAACCCAGGTTCAATCTCTGGTCTTTGTAGAATCAATTGATCTCAACTACTACTACAAATTTTCCATGAAGCTTCTGGAATAATGGTCAAGTTAATTAAGCAGAAATTCAGAGAAAGACATATAAAAGAAAATTTGGCTTCAAGTCTGAGACCTCTAACGTCTTCAGAATCCACTAGAGCCAATCCAATGTTATGTGGGATGAAGACCCTCTTGAGCAACAATTTCAGGCTGGATGAGATTAATTTTGAACACCCACATGCATTGGCATTGTGTAAACTGAGAGAAAACAAGTGAAATATTCATCAACTATAGCCTGTATTTGTAGGATCCTTTGTTGACAAGACACCAGCCTAGAGATGCAGAGACAACAAGGTGCAGGGCTGGATGAACACAGCAGGCCAAGCAGCATCATAGGAGCAGAGAGGCTGACGTTTCGGGCCTAGACCCTTCATCAGAAAAGGGGGAGGGGAAGGAGGTTCTGAAATAAATAGGGACAGAGTGGGAGGCGGATAGAAGAGGGATAGAGGAGAGGAAAGGTGGAGAGGAAACAAACAGGTTGAAGAGGCGGGGATGGAGCCAGTAAAGGTGAGTGTAGGTAGGGAGTTAGGAAGGGGATAGGTCAGTCCAGGGAGGATGGACAGGTCAAGGGGGCGGGATGAGGTTGGTCGGTAGGAGATGGAGGTGCGGCTTGAGGTGGGAGGAGGGGATAGGTGGGAGGAAGAACAGGTTAGGGAGGCAGGGACGAGCTGGACTGGTTTTGGGATGCGGTAGGGGGAGGGGAGATTTTGAAACTTGTGAAATCCACATTGATACCATTGGGCTGCAGGGTTCCCAAGCGGAATATGAGTTGCTGTTCCTGCAACCTTCGGGTGACATCGTTGTGGCACTGCAGGAGGCCCAGGTTGGACATGTCGTCTGAGGAATGGGAGGGGGAGTTGAAATGGTTCGCGACTGGGAGGTGCAGTTGTTTATTGCGAACCGAGCGTAGGTGTTCTGCAAAGTGGTCCCCGAGCCTCCGCTTGGTTTCCCCGATGTAGAGGATTCCACACCGGGTACAGCGGATGCAGTATACCACATTGGCAGATGTGCAGGTGAACATCTGCTTGATGTGGAAAGTCTTCTTGGGGCCTGGGATGGGGGTGAGGGAGGAGGTATGGGGGCAGGTGTAGCCTAGAGATGCAGTTCTATTTTGAATATTTCTTCTGTCAGAGCATTGTAAATCCGTGGAATTCTTGCTGACAGACGGCTGTTGAAGTTGGGTCATTAAGCATATTCAAGGCCAAGATCGACAGATTTTTAGTCAATATGAAAATCGAGGGTTACAGCAAAATGGCCGGAAAGTGGAGTTGAGGATTATCAGATCAGCTAAGATCCCACCTGGAGGCTGAATAGCCTATTTCTGCTCAAGTGTTTTATGTTCTTGTGGGCAGTTAATTCATCAGGATTATAAGTCATGAAAATTCAAAAGATCCTGTGTTGTTGTAAAGGCATTTTGAATTTATGCATAAATCAAGATTTTGCTTCAATTCTAATATAACTTCTCAAATATCTTTACAATAAAAATGATTATCTTCAGAAAGCCATAGTTTGTACCTGAAGATAAAAAAAGGACAGTTCCTAAAATTAAAATATAAAATTACTTTGTACATTTTTTATACTGATAAACCATAGAGCACAGTATTTCAGGCAGATAGTTAATTTTCATTCCTTTTTTGGGAATAAACAATACAATAAACCTGCAAAAATGATTGCACAGAGCTCAGCACGTGAAGGAGATAACATGTATACACACTTGATCTGAATTGGCTTTGGCTAAAACACAATCTTCCAAACACCCAAAACATTCTTTAGAAGTAAGCATTTTCTGTTGGCAGTTATTATTAATTGTCTTCATATTCCTCCTCCTTCTGTAATATGTAACTAGTGCTGAAGGACAGACTTGCTTTTGGGACATCATTAGACTTCAGTATTGCTGCCTGCAACATTTTTATTTAGTACACAGTTCACTTTGTCAAGGTGAGAAATTTCATTTATTAATTCATGGGATGATAGTGTGGCTGGGAAGGTCAACTTCTTTAGTGATTCTGAACAACCTTTGATATTCCATGGGATGCCAGCGTTATTTGTGCTTAAGCATAATACTTTAAAGAAAACACTCTGATTGCTTGACCAGTAAATAGTAGTCATTTAGAAAAATAAGGTTCATATTCAATAGGTTCGATTCCCACTGCGTGCAGAGTAATCTGATGCCAGTTGCACAGTTGTGCACTATATTTGATCTCAATGCAGTAGGCTTGGTGGAGGAGAAAGCAGAGCTCCTGCTCCCTATTGCTACTCTGTAATTCTTGCTTGAAAATTTATCGGTCTGGGTGTCACAAAATGGATACATTTCATTAATGTGTGCATAAAGGTTGGTCTCTTGAGAGAGATGCTGGGGAAAGTACTGGAACCAAAGCCCTGCACATCAAGAATTATTCCCTTTAGAAATGAATTGAAGATACATAAAAGATAGGTCTGACAAACTGGATCTTTTTTCTCTTGAAAAACAAAGGCTGGGAAGGAACTACTAGAAGTCTTTAAAATTATGAAAGGTTGTAATAGAATGAGAAGATTTTTTTCTTGTAGGATAAAACACAACTAGAAACCACCAATGTAAAATATTCAACATGAAACTCAGAGGTAAATTTTTTATTCAACGCGCGCTTAGAATGTGGAAGCTACTACTACAGTGGTTGAAACTGATGGTATAGATGTATTAAAGTGGAAGCTAGACAAGTATATGATGGAGCACAAATAGATTACAATGATAGATTTAGGAACACTGGAAATTAGAGCGGGAGAAGGGCATTCAGCCTCGCAAGACAGCTTTGGCATTCAACTGGATCATGTTTAATCCTCCAGCTCAGCACCACTTTCCTACACTATCCCCGCACACCTTCATAAAAACTAGCATGGAGTGGTTGGGCCAAAATCGTCTCTGAATGCTTTATGTACTGTGTATGTAAATCTTAGTGCAGCATGGGGCCAATTAGCACAAGTAAAAGCAGATAGGATAAGATGAAAAATGTTCAGATTTAACTTGTGCTTTAAATCAGTTTGGATATGAAAGATTGCACATGAAATAAACTTACGAAATTAATTGAAGAAATGTAATGCAATGCATAATGTAAGTTAGAAAAATCAGTGTATTCAGTGAATAGATACAATATTCTTTTAAATTATTGACAGTAAAAGCAATGCTGTATATAATATCTGAGGAAGAGTTATCGGACCCGAATCATCAATGCTGATTTCTCTTCACAGATGCTACCTAAACTGCTGAGCTTTTCCAGCAACTTCTGTTTTTGTTGGCCATACATAATTTATTTATTGTATCTGATAAAGATCCAGAGACATATATTCAAGTTTATCCATTTTCTGGTGCTGACATTTGAACTTCAAAAGTGAGTTTGCTTGTCTCTCTCAAATGCCACAGCCTTAATTGACTGTTTGAATGCACATTCTCTCAGTCCTTTTGAATATTTGCAATTCCACATGTGCGCATCTGAGGTTGAACATATTTGATTATTTGGGAGAAATGGTAACAGTTACCGAATGAACAGTGCCCTCTGCTGAACAGAATTCCTGGACTAATTTTAATATTCATTTGTATTTTACAATTCACTCTTCAAGAATATAATGTTCCGACATGTTCTTTGCATGCGTTACTGGATGACAAAGAGGACATTTGAAAATGAAAAATCAGATCTCTGTAACAAACCATTTCTCAACCTGACTTCTTCATATTTCTTTAACTTTGTGATTATATTTAGGGAACTCTATTTCAGAAAATCAGTCTCAAGAAAAGCTTGGATACAATGGAAACAAAGAGGCTTCATGTTTTATTTGGATTCTTGATACCATCAAGCTCAGAAATAGATTATTTTTTTTAATTGTTTCAGCTTCACATTACCAACGTTGGTTTCTTCTTTCAGAGGTAAAGAAAAATGGAGTGAATTCAAGAAAGAGAAATGCAAGCAAGAAAGAATATGAGAGAGAGTGAGAAAATGAAAGCAAACGAAAGGAATGTGGAGAATGTGAAATAAAATTGTCTAAATTGTCAAACAAATGAATGAAGCCAGACCACTGGATAAGATTTTTTAATAAAAAATATTATAATTAAATTATATACTACAGTGAAAATGCAGATTTTGTATAGTGTAAGGAATAAATTATCTTTAATCTGGACAAACTATAATGGCAGCGCTGTTAGATGCTCCAGCTGGATCTCTTTTGCTCACCAGCTCCTTTTCCTTTCCCTTTTTCCCCTCTTGCTGCAGTTTTTCTTTCCCTACCCAGAACAACTTTTAACTTCTTAAAGCACCCTACCTGGACGGAATGGAGAACAGACTCCGAGGCCAGCCCAGTGCGGGAGACAAGTTATGGCTGGGGCCGGAGTGGGAGCAGAGTGAATGAGGACCGAGTCCCAGAAGTAAGTCACAGCCGGAGCAGCAGCAGAACAAGCGCGGGCCGAGCTGGGAGCCGGAGCGGGAGCAGATCAAGCCCAGGCCGACCGGGGAGGGAGATTGAGTCCTGGATAGAGGCTAAAGCGTGGAGGCAGCGCGGCCTTGTGTTCTGAAGCCTGGCAAAGCGCAGACTCAGTGAAAAAGGACTTTAACCTTTTATTCTCATTCTGGACTTTTTAAACTCTGCATTTCCATGCTAGTCTAATTTTTTCATCGTTTCAATTCTGTGACAACACTTAAAAGTACCTGTACCTAGGTACTCGGTACCTAAGATAGTGCCAAGAGGTGACATTACAAACTTTTCACTCATCCGAGTGCATGTGGGAATAAAGGATATTCTAAAATAATGGTGCTGATACCCTGAAAAGAAATATTGTGTAATCTTTCTTTGTCACATTGAATACATCATCCACCAAATGATCCAGTAAACAGGGAACAAAAAGATTTGACAACCCTTTAATTTGAGATATGGGTGGCTTGGGTTTGCTGTCATTGTAACACTTGCCCACAGGTTTTGGCACTGTGAGTTGGGAATTGAGATATTTAGAAATCCATATTAGTCTGAAGCTGTCTGCAGGATATCTGGGACATGCGTTAACAAGGAAGGCAGCTACGCATCTCCTTGACTGATCAGATTGAAGAATAATTGATAGCAGCACACAGAATCTAAATCAGAGTGTAAGTTAAAATATTTAGTTCAATGTTAAATCCGGTTTGGAAAATAAAGGGAGGGAAAGAAAGATGGGATTAAAGGAGCGAGAGAGACAAAAGACAGAAAGAAAAAGGTAAATAAAACTAATACAATTATATTCTACACTTATTAAACAGAATTTCCAGCACTGTTTAGCAGTTGGTAACACTTAACATCAACAATCCCTGTAAGTTGTGTAGAGACTGGACCAAGAAACTGCCCATAATTCCTTGCACTGAAGGGTACATGTTGGCCATTGTAAATTATCACATGTTCCTATACATGCAAAAATCTTGAATGGAGTGGCTCACTTTAAATTGTCTAGGGTCTCTACATAAATTAAATGTGGAAGTATTGGTTATCACAGCATTAAAAGTTTACATAGAAAAGTGGAAAATAGGAACATGAATTGGCTATTTGGCCTTTTGAGGCTGTTCCACTGTTCAATATGATCATGGCTGAAAATCAATCGCTTTCTGTGGAAGAGATTTCCACAGGCTCACCACTCTCTGGATGAAGAAGTTAATCCTCATTTCATTCCTCAATGGCCTACCCTCTATTCTTAGATTGTGACTCTTGAATTGACAAATCCTAACTTTTTCAGGTGAATGTTGTAAGCAACTATTGAGTAAATATTACAACTTCCCACTATCCGGGAACTTTATCATTTAAATTCTTAGAGAGATTCTGGGATATCGATGGTTTTGTAAGAAAAATGTAAATTTTACAGGAATTCCTGGTTTTCATTTTGATTTGTTCATGTGCAAACTTTGAAAGTTGTTCTCCGATTTATCCTTTAACAAGAGCAATATTCAGTAATAGTTTATGTATTGAGAATAGAATGCTTTTACACCATTACTATATCAGTGAACTTTGTTTATCAACTAAGTGAACTTCATACACATCAACTGAACAAAAACTGAACAATATCTTCAAAGGAAACCCTGACTGGTCAGAAACAGTTGTGAATCTTATATCTATAAAAAATGAAGACCAGAACAGAATTTTATCTGAATTTCTCCTCGTCCTTCACAGAAACTTTGGTCGTTTTTAACAGCAGCCCATTTTCAACAAAATTATTATGGTATTCCATATTCCAGGCAGTCAAGGTAAAAATATTTTCCCTTTCTGCTAATTTGTGGATAAATACCTCCTGCAATTCCAACTGTCTGAGCACGTTATGTTCAAAAGACAAAAGTGGTTGCCCATTAGAGCTCCTATGTGCTCGATCACATAGCAAGCTATTGGTTTTAACCATTTAAAGTAAATATCTTGGTAAAAGATTTGAATACTCGCACATAGCAATTGCAGGTAACATGCAGAATAGCAAGATGATATTGTGACTCGATGTGAAACATTAATTTGCTGTCGCCATTACTAAACCAAAATGCCACCAAAACCCTGCGTTAACCTTGCACAGATGAACACGACCCTGTAATAAAATGAATGACTCACACTGACTTGAGTCAAAGGGATCTTGCTGTGCATGCAAGTTAGTTCTTTGAGGAGTAAAATGTGATTTTTGCAGCATTTCTATATTTGACTCCCTTGCATGTTTCACCTTTATCATGGCCAAAGAGGCAGAGCTGACTTCAGAGACAACACAGTATGGTGCTGGAGGAACACAGCAGGCCAGGCAGCATTAGACAAGCAGGAAAATTGATATTTTGGATCGGAACCGGAAATGTCAATTTTCCTGCTCCTCTGATGCTGACTGGCCTGCTGTGTTCCTCCAGCTCCATACTGTGTGGTCTCTGACTCTATTATCTCCAGTTCTTGCTATCTCTGAAAGCTGAATTCAATTGTTCATGCTCTCTTCTCCTCTGCTTATAACAGAGATGGTCTTATTTTTAAACTTTTTCTTTTCATTTTAAACGTAGACTACACTGTTTCCCACACTCTGAGAAGTCCAAGTTAAAATGAGATGCAGCAGATTTTTTTTTGGTTAAACTAAGGGCTGTATCTTATCTGAAATTGGCTAAGATTCGTGCTTGGTGCATTACATTGAAAATTTCCCTCTGGTGAGTTCTCATGTTTTATTATACTCAACTCACCTCATTAACAAGTTACCCCAATCATCATCATAGAATCCCTACAATGTGGAAGCAGGCCCTTTGGCCCAACAAGTCCACACTGACCCTCAGAGGATCCCACCCAGACCCATTCCCCTGTAACTGACCTAATCTACACATACCTGAACACTAGGGGCAATTTAGCATGGCCAATTCACCTAACCTGCACATCTTTGGACTGTAGGAGAAAACCAGAGCACCCAGAGGAAGCCGAAGCAGACACGGGGAAAATGTGCAAACTCCACACAGACAGTCACCCGAGGGTGGAATCAAACCTGGGTTGCAGGCGTTGTGAGACAACAGTGCTAACCACTGAGCCACCATACTGCAGCGACTTAACATCGTTCAATGTTAGCCTGATTTTTCCACTCGGGGTAGGCAGAAGAACTCATCACCGATGGGATAACCTAGCATCATGGGCTTTTTTTTTATTTTCACGCACAGGATGTAGGCTTCGCTGGCTGTGCTATCATTTATTGGCCGTCCATAGGTGCTCTTGAGAAGATGGTGGTGACCTGTCTTGAATGCTGCGGTCCATTTGGTGTCAGTAGATCCTCAATGCCGTTTGGGAAGGAGTTCCAGAATTTTTACCCAGTAACATTGAAGGAACGGATGTTTGTATGTTATTAATGTTAGTTGCCACTTTTCAGACCAAGCCTGAATATTGTCCAGATTTTGCTGCATTTGGATAAAGACTGCTTCGGTACGTGAGGAGTTGTGAATGGTGCTGAACATTTACAGTCATCACAAATATCCTCACGTCTGATGATGAAGCTGCTGAAGATGTTTGGACCCAGGACACCACTCTCAGTAACTCCTGCAGAGATATCCTTGAGCTCAGATGACTGAACTCCAACAACCACAATCATCAGTGGCTCAGTGGCTAACACTGCTGCCTCACAGCACCAGAGGCCTGGGCTCGGTTCCATTCTCAGGTGACTGTCTGTGGGAAGTTTGCAATGTTTTCCCCGTGTCAGTGTAAGATGGAGGCGGTCTGGGTGGGACACTCTTCAGAGGGTCTGGGTGGACTTGATGGGCCAAATGGCCTGCTTCCATTCTATAGGGATTCTATGATCTTTCTATGTGCCGGGAATGACTCCAAACAATGGAGAGCTTTCCCTCTGTTTCCCATTGAATCCAATTTTGCAAGAGCACCTTGGAGCCACACTCGGGAAAATGTGGCCTTGGTGTCAAGGGTTATCACTCTCACCTTACCTCTTAAATTCAACTCTTTTGTCTATGTTTGAACCAAGGCTGTAATGAGATCAGGAGCTAAATGGCCCTGGCAGAACATGAAATGGAAATCAGTGAGCAGGTTATTGCTGAAGTGGTGCTGCTTAATAACACTGCTGTTAACACCTTCCATCACTTTATTAATGACCAAGAGTAGTCTGATGGGTCAGTAATTGGTGGGGTTGGATATATCCTGCCTTTTGGGAACATGAGAATACTTGGGAATTTTCCAGACAGTTAGGTAGATGCCAGAGTTGTAACCACATTGGAACAGCATGGCAATTTGGCAATTTCAGAAGCATAAATCTACAGGGGAATTGCTGGAATTTTGTCAGGGCCCTTTGTCTTTGCAGTATCCAGCGCTTCCAAAATTTTCTTAATAGCAGATGGAAGTAAATCACGTTGACAGAAGATGGGTATCTGTGACGCTGGAGACCTCTGGAGGAGGCAGAGATGGATCATCCACTTGACACTTCTAGCTAAAGGTTGTGATGAATGCCTCAGGGGTTTCTTTTGCACTGATGTGCTGGGTTGTCCCATCATTGAGGATTCAGATATTTGTGGAGACTCCACTTCCTGTGAGTTGTGTAATTATCCACCAGCATCAACTGGATGTGGCAGAACTGCAGAGCTTAGATCTGATTTGTTGGTTGTGGGATCACTTAGCACTGTCTATCACTTGCTGCTTTCGCTGTTTGGTATGCAAGAAGTCCTATTTGGTGGCTTCACCAGGTTGATACCTCATCTTCAGGTATGCCTGGTGCTGCTCCTGGCATGCCCTCCTGCACTCTCCATTGAACCAGGGTTGATCCCCTGGCTTGATGGTAATGGTTGAGTGAGGAATATGCCAGGCCGTGAGGTTACAGATTGTGCTGGAGCACAATTAGCCTATTGCTTATCATCCACAATGCTTCAAGGGTGCTGACCGATCTCTCCCAGGGTGAGCTGGAGTCACCAGGTAACCGTTCTGACTTGTATGTCAGCAATTCTTGGCATCTTGTTTCTATCTGACAAGTGGGATAACGGATATCTGCATTTTAATGATGTGCGATTAGCTAGTAAGGAGGGTGACAATGATTGATAATCCATGTAAGTAACCATCTTGGTGCTTATTAGAATCCCTACAGTGTGGAAACAGGCCATTTGGCCCAACAATTTGACACCGACCCTCTAAAAAGCATCCCAGCCAGATTCATTCCCCTACCCTTTCCCTGTAGCCCTACGTTTCCCATGGCTAATGCACCTAACCTACACATTGCTGAATACTATGGGGCAACTAGCATGGCCAATCCATCTAACTTGCACATCTTTGGACTGTGAGAGAAAACTGAAGCACCCGGTGGAAACCCCCACAGACACAGGGAGAACGTGCAAA